ATAAAACCACCAATATACGCACACTATCTTTTAACTGCTATTAGGCATTTTCAAATGGCACACTCATCCGCTCACTCTCCCTCGTCATAGTTTACCCTGAAACTCCATATTTTGATAAAGGAAGTTATTTATATGAAGAAAAATGTGTTTTTCCACCGTCTTTCCATGTGCTAATGCTTGGCCGTTAAATTCATCATAACTTCCTGTTTGCTAGGCTACACTGCTCATTCGTCTTCTTTTCTCGATGTTCCGTTTAGCCAAATTGTAAAATGATAAGTTTTAGTCCCATGTAACTCCTTGTGATCGTCTGGGACAGGCTACAAAGCCCATCTCTGCGTTGTAAATCTAAAAAAAATAAATATTTAGAAAGATGATGTCGCATTTAGACTGGAAGGTTTCTTAGACTATTTTTATAGTTAGCTTTCTTGCTATTCATTGTTATTCGCTTACAACCACCCTACCCATCGTCCTGATAATGCATGTGACTACAGATTTTAATATGCTGTTTACCGGTAATTTAGATTTTTGCACCCTATATTTACGCCTATTTTTCGCTTGCATGTGGGTGCTTCTAGGCTAGATCCCTTTACAAGATGCTATTTTCCCCTTTATTTTGTCGCTGTGATTCTCCCTCTCGTCACTTTGGTTGAGCTGCTATCCAAAGGCCGCCGTCTACACTTAATAATTCCCTCAAGAGTAGATCTTCCTAAGTATGCATGCAACAAATTGTAACGATGCTGGGGCAATCAAATACTCAACTAATTTATCATAGATCCCACCAGAAGCCATTTATCAGCAAACAAGAGATCATGAAATGTGAATAGTTCCTAAGTGACCTATCCTCCTGTAATGCTTTCTGAACTTTTCTCTACCCATCTATCTAGATTAAACTTGATACAAACACTTTTGACGACGCTTTCAGCAAGGTTAAAAGGGTTAGCGCTGAATCCTCTTATAACATGCATTCACTTTTCTATGCAAGCTATCGTCCTTTCTCTCTCCCTGTCATTTAATTAATTTTCAAATACTCAATTTCACTAGTTCGCCCGCGTGGTGCATTATTTTGTAATAAATTTTACCCATAACAAGTGAAACCCGAGTTTTCTTTAAGAAGCCGCTAATATCTTGGGTTTATTGCACATTTACGCATGATACGGATCTAAATAATCACAGCAAATATTGTTATCACTATCATTCGAAGTCAATTTTACTCAGTTTGATGGAGAAAGAGAACAGAGCGGAGAGATGGGGGAAATGAGGAGAGAGGAAGCGGAAAGGTGAGACGAGAAGCA